ACAATTAAAACACACCATGCCACGTCCACAGAGTCGAATCAGTCTCATTTCCCCCGTATTCCAAACGCACGATTATCTCCCTTGAGTATATCTTTAGTAAAAAAAAAAAAAGGATTCACATACCTGTAGCATGTCTGAAACGTAAGCTCCAAACATTTATAAATCCAACATTTTTATTGCCATTGAAACTTTCTTGCTATTTACATAGCAATTAATTCTTAACTTCCGCAAATTCATAACTTTATACTTAGTACACACTATGCTACCTCCACGGAGTTGAATCACCCACATTTCCTCCATATTCCAGTTGTAAGGAGGAAGATCCACTCAGACTGCTTTTCTTCGAGAACTGCTACTTTGTAAAACAGATTCCTCCTTGGATGCTTCCCTGAACACGACATTCTTAATCTCTTTAAATCAAATCTTTATCTATTCTCCAGATCCTAATAATCTTTACTTTCTTTCACCTCTTCTTTTATTCATATCACACTCCTCACTTGATCATTAGAACTTTAAAAGTAATCCTCTATATTGAGTGGCTCTCCAGCCTTCTATTGGGGAAACTTTAATGTAAAAAATAGCGAAAATGACAGCCACTTAAACAATATTATTTGATACCTCATCATCTATGATGAAATTTTACTTTTACCATAACCTCATCTTGACTTTCTGGTTTTGATATTAAAATGTCCATCTCAGATTAGATATTGTCAAATTCATTGATTACTATTATCAAATTCATTTAAACAGTTTGGATATTAAAATGAAAACTTTTTTATTGATTTTGACACTTATGGAAAATTTAATTTGACCTATCCAACCGTATGAGCGTGATAATCAAGGTTATGAAAAACAATTGATTATCTTAAGATTTTAGGCTTGTTTATAATCGATTAACGATCAATAATTGCCGAGAAATTCGATAGAACTGTTGATAGTTTACCGTTTTACATTCTCGTATTAAAATATAAGGAAGTCTATTGCTTAAATTATTCTGGCACAAGGCCGTAAGTCTGGTGTACTCAGTGAGGATCTTTTTTTTGTGTGTTAAATAAAAACTGATTATTTTCTATAATTTTTTTTATTTTAAGAAGAAATTGCTTGTTTTTTTTCATATTCTTTCATTTTTAAACTGTAGAATCTTCTTCTTCTTCTTCTTCTTCTTTGTGCTATGTCCCTTCAGGAATTTTGGCAATCGTTGTTCCCAGGAATGTTTAGTTTATGCGTTATGCGTGTCTCTCTTACCTTCAATCTGTCTTGTGAGGATCAAATTTTCCAAGCCCTCTTTCCTCATTAAGTGCCCCAGAAATTTCAACTGTCTCTTCTTGATGTTATTCAGAAGTAGCCTTTCTGTTGTCATTGTCCTTATAACGTCGTTCTATGGTATTCTCGGCAGCTTTCTGTTGAACTCCATTTCTATTGCTTCAAGTCTCTTCTTCATCTGTAACGAGATTGTCCAGTAATCGCTGCCATATAGGAGGACTGATATTACAAAACTGTTCAGTACTTGTTTCGCTGTTTCTAACGATCCCTTTCTGTTTCTTAATACTTTGCTAAGATTTTGGAAGGCAGCTTTCGCTCTGTAAAACGTTAGCTCATTTTTTTCCTTATTTGTTAATAACAATTAATATGTGAAACGTTTGCTTTTATTATATCAATTATTATTAACAAATAAGGATTAAAAAAATTAAAAAATAAGACTGCCTTTTATTGATTTGGTTGGTTCATTTTGTTTAGCGACATATCAACACCTCTATGAGTTATTTAATGACGAAATCTAAATATTTTGACCACAATTTTATGGCTTCAACTAAATATATTTTGAACGCAATTATATGCCTTCAACTATAGGTAAAATGTATTGTTGGTAATTTTGCTTTAAATATATATTGTTGGTAATAGTATTATAAATAGGTATTGTTGATTGACTGATTTTGTTTAGCGGCATATGGGTTAATTAATGCCGAAATCCAAATATTTTGATCACAATTCCATGGCTTCAATTAAATATATTTTGAACGCAAATGTATGCCTTCGGGTAATTTCTGCTTTAAACATGTATTGTGGGCAATTTTATTATAAATAGTTATTTTTAATTGGTCGATTTTTGTCGTAACCTAGAAAGGTTACTGAATGAGGAATAACAAAAACGGAAGTTAGAAATGAAATGGTAATCATTATAACATCAACAAAATACAATACTCGCCAGCGGCGTGAAGTAGGTAAACCACAGCTAGTAGTGGACTACTTATACAGCATATTACCACCACTTAGTGTTCAACGTATTTACGAGGATTGAGACATACCGATTAGTGTTCATAGGTACAGTATATAACAATTTTGTTTAGTGGCACATCAACACTTTTATGTGTTATTTAATGCCGAAATTTAAATATATCGACGATAATTTTATGCATGTATACAGCCAATGCGGTGACGATACAGCATCGCTGGGTGGAAGACTTCCTAGACTGAAGTCAACGGGCAGGGCGGAATTGTCTCCCGATAAAATGAACGGCTATGTGTTCTTGACCTAGGTGAGCCTTCAAGTTGGACATCGGCGTTGGTTTGACCTGGAGAGGGATGGTCTTCGCCAGGTCTACTTACCCAAGACATTCTCCATTGTTGTAAAGTATCCAATTTCATCACTCGTCTCATTTTGTTTCGATAACAGAACATTTAAATATGCTTTAGTTCTGTTTTACGTTTAAACTATGTGGAAGCCACTCATTAAAGTGACTATCATAAGTTGGTTCAAGTCATTTTCATTGTTTAATTTAATTATGCTGACTGTTATCTGGCGCGTGTAGTGTAACAACTGCTATTCTCAACTAAAGTATCGATTTGATTTCTATCAATATAAACTGGTCCACCGTAGACCACCGTTTAGCAAGAAATCTCTTGTATGAAAATTTGCAAACTACTTTTGATACATTTCCTCATTTGTCCATAAACCAAGCAATTTCTGTGCTCTTGGTTAAGCCATCTTTTTTATCAACATCAGAAGCATTTTGCCAGTAAAAAGACTTCTACTCAATGGTAAATATTTTATGCGACACATATCTTAGCCAGCAGATATTCTATAAAACTTTCGTTAAATGCTAAAAAGGCACTTTTTTTTCAAATAAAAGATAACATATACTTAAAAAGACAATGGTTTTTTCTCTTATTATGTAGTTTTTTTTAATTGTATTTACTCCTATTTTTATCAGTGTTACCCTCTTTATCAAAGTTAATCAACTTGTAAAAAATTAGCATAATTTTTTCCTGGTTAGTCTCAAACAAAAATACGAAAAAATCTGATAAATGTTTTTTTTTTTTAAATTCATGCTGAGAATGCAAATCTCCATAATGTAATCAAAAGCGATATTTTTTTAAGTTAGTTAAAACTAAACACTCCTAATGTCTCTTAACTAGAAAAACATGTACAAACATTTTAGCTTATCCAGTGCATTCACCCAACCCTTTTTGCATGCTTACGTCCGCTAGTTGGGACTCGTATTTAAGTCATGTGTGTTAGGGTTTCATGATTACGCAGCTCACGTTTAAAGAATCCCAGAAATTCAAAAAGTAAAAATTTATCTTTTATTTATTTTTCTAAGTTGATGATGAGAGATAAGCGAACCTATCTGACACGTTTGAAACATATTTTTTATAACATACATAAAAAAGAACAGAAAAAAAAATTTGCATTTCAATCTTCCGGCTTGTTTCTCTGTGTGTGTTTGTCACGTTCTTTCCTGCCGACACTGCACATATTCCTTAGAATTAGAACTGGAGACCCACTGTCTGAATTTCAACGCCATCTTCAGCAAATTCTTTCTATCCTTTTCTTCCATTCGTCAGAGAACCTTAAATGTTCGTTCCTGTAACCAATCATAAAAAAAGTATCAATAAATAATGTCAAATCCAAATTGCAGAAATACTCAGATAATTTTCAGATAAGACGAATGAAGTCGTTGGCAAAAATGCAAAGACCACCCAGTATTTCTCTGTGATGTTCCACCCAAAACAAAGCGAATAAAAGCTTCTAAGAAGGGGGGAAAATGTTTCAAATAAACAATGATTCACAACGATATTTTGATTATAATTCGCTGACTTTACGGCAAAGTTTAACATTCTTACTCGCAAAACAAGTCCGTGAAAGGACAGTTTTTTTTTTCACCGCTAGTATGCATCCACGAAAAAAAAAAAAAAAAAAAAAACCAGCGGACAAAACCCAGCGGGCAAAAAAAAACCCCAAAAAAAACCAGTGGACAAAACTCAGCGGGCAAAAAACAAAAAACCAAAAAAACAGTGGACAAAAACCCTGCTTCATAAATAAAAGTCTCATAAAACGGAACAATTTTAACATTGAAAATTCAAGGACGTTTTAATTCAAATTTTAACGTCAAATTGAGAAAATAATAATATCCAATATATACACTTATATGTACAAGAAAGATTTCTATTGGGTAATTCTCGAGTTTATGGTTCCGATCCGTTTGCAACAGAAATTTATAGTAAATCGATACAATCTCTAAAAAAAAAAAAAAACGTTTTCTAACAGGGCTAAGTTCAAATATTCGACATATTGCATAGTTAAGAAGTCCTAGTATCACATAAGACCCGACTTTATGTGAAGAAGGGTGTTTTTTTCTAAAGATAGCGTTAAAATGTAAACAAGCAACTAATTGTCTATACTTGTATAAGAATATGTATTATGCCAGATTTAAATAAAGTCCTTATTCGCGAAATAACTTTCATGTACATATAAGTATATATTGGATATTATTATTGTGGAAATTTGGCATCAATATTTGAATTAAAAGGTGCTTGAATTTTCAATGTTAAATTTTGTTATCTTTTCATATATGAAGCTTTTATTTATGAAACTGGGATTTTGTCCACATTTGAGATAACAGGCAGAGGTTTTGTTCACGGGGTTTTTGTCCGCTGAGATTTTATCATGTTACCCGCTATTAATGTATTTTCCGAGGTTCTTTTCATAGGTTTTTGTTACGAACACTGAAGTTAATCAATGTCGAGCCTAGTCAGTACTTAGATGGTTGATCGCTTGGGAATACCAGGTGCTGCAAGCTTAGATGTACGAATAGTAGGACTTACGGCCTTATAACGTTGAAACATCAGTTCTCGTACTTTCATCCAAGTTAAGCAACGACGAGCCTGGTCAGTAACTAGATGGGTGACCACTTGAGAATACAAGGTGCTGTGAGCTTAGATGTATGGATGGTAGGTCATACGGCCATATAACGTTGAAACATCAGTTCTCGTACGATCATCCAAGTTAAGCAACGATGATCCTGGTCAGTACCTAGATGGGTGACCGCTTGGGAATATAAGGTGGTATGACTTACGGCCATATTGCGTTGAAACATAGTTAAGTAACGTCGAGCCTGTTCAGTACATTTATGGGTCACCGCTTGGGAATACCAGGCGTTGTAAGCTTGGATGTGCAGGTGGTGTAATGAATAACGGCTCGGAATTGGAAATCGGAGAGCAGAGTTCTAATTCCAGTCGCGCAAATATCCTTGGGCAAGGTATGAATTCATTTCTTTTCCTCCCAACTACTGGTTAATTAGTAGGAGTAGGAAATCAAGGCAAACATGGATAAACGTGCCTGCAATAAGACGGAGTATCAAAAGAACGGTTTTTTCCCATGATATCGCTCTTTTAACTAGCTTCACTGCCCGGCAGTGTCTATTGTTTTAAAAATCAATGATTAGAATTGGAATAAAACTTAACATATGAAGAAAGTGAATCTATACATTCTTTGTTCTTAAGAATTTACAACATTGATATCAAACCGTATTTATTCATTAAATTTTTTAATCACAAGAGAAATATTATATTTACACCATTCTAAAAACTAATACAATTAGAACTAATGCAATGTTCATTTATCATTTACCAATTTATAAAGAAATAAACGCAAAAAAAATCTCATTCATAAATTTATAGACATTTCCTAAATTATTAAAATATGTGAACCAACTATAAGGAAATCATTATTATTTACCATTTTATAAAGTTTGAATAAATTGGCAATTAGCAGCTTTTTGTCAACTAATAACCAATAAAAGTATCATAAATAAACAGTGTAAATAAACAATCAAGTAAATAAATAGTATTTATTATTTTTGTTGTTAATTCTCAAGAACAAAGAAAATGTATAAATTCACTTTCATATGTTGAAGTTTTATTTCAATTCTAATCACCGCATTTTTATAATAATAAACATTGACAAAGACTAAAGGTAGTTAAAAACTCCAAAAGCAAGCATATTTTAAACAGGAAGCAAGGCTCAAATGTTTTGAGCACAAGTATATTAAAAAAAAAAATAGGAAAAACCGTACGTTTGACAGTACGCCTTATTGTGGACACGTTTATCCATGTTTGCCCAAATAAAGAAAAATTCTGATAATTTAGAAATATTTTCTTACAGAAAAATTCTTACAATATGAAAAAGCTCTTACAATCTAAAAATATTCTCTAGCTTTAAATAACCAATAAAAGTTGATAAATTGTAAAAACAAATCAATCAATACTGGATTTTCTCTTGGTAATTTTTATTGTTTTAAAAAGCTATTTTAGAATTTTAATAAAACCCAAACATATTAAGTAGGATTAATACGCTTTCTCGTTTCTTTTTCCCGAGAATTATCAACAAAAATAAATAAATAAATAAATAAATAAAACACTATTCTCATGATTACAGTCTAGCAAATAGTTTTAACATTTCTGTTTTCAATTCTTGAGAGGGAAAAAGGTATAAATCCAGATACTCACAAACTATTTTAGTGAATTTATGTGACATAAGCAAATGATAGAAATAACCCGGAAACCATTTTTTTTTTTCAAAATCTATAATTGCAGTTATTCGTCGTTATGCGTTTATTTAAACTTTCTTGCTTTATAATTCACAGACATTTTTGATAAATTTATGAATAAAAAAATTATTTTCATGTTATTTTCTTTATAATGTGTGTGTGTGATCGGATGTTGTTTATACATTTCCACAGTTTTTATCCGATTTTGATGAATTTTTTTGTTTAATATATAATTCTTCAGTGCCAGTTTTGAGTCCAAATTGTTGGTGACAATGGCTCTCCACTACTTCCTGGCCATTATAACTCTCAGCAACATTTTCCTATTTACTTTCTGTTCTTGGATATATATCTTTTAAAAAAACTTTAATTAAAATAAATAGTTTAAATTATTAAAATAATATTATTTATTATTATACAGTTCCCTCTTCAGGGCCACCCCCCCCCCATTCAAATTGTTACTCATCATTTGGGGATGTGCCTCATTTGCACCCAAATGTTGTTACTAATATTGCTTCAACTGAAAGGCAAACATTCCCAGTAATGAAAGACCAGGTCAAAGACAGGTTATACTGCTATTATAAATATTTCATTTTAGTTGGTTCAAATATTTTATAAACTTGTAAATATAAAATTAATCTTGTAGACAAACAATCTAATAAAATAAATAGTATGAAATTCTTTTATTGTGCATTGTGGATACCGGATCCGAATGAGAACTCGGAGAGCCGAGTTCGAATTCCAGTCAAGTCCTTTACATTCACTTACGCACAAATACCCTTGGGAAAGATATGAATCCATCTTTTTCCCTACCCAGCTATGGGTTGATAGCAGGACAGACTGAGTTCTATAGCTTTGATTGGTAACCAGTCTACCACAGAAAGAAACGGCAACCTACTGCGGGAAAATCTTCTGCCTTGTCAGTCATTTATCGAAAGAGACATGATCGCCCAAGCGTGTGTCACGTATGGCACTTAACTGACTAATTGTCTATATTCAAGCAGAAAGAAAATGCATAAATCCAGTTTAATACGTTTTAGTTTTATTAAAATTCTAAAACAAGACTTTTTTAAAACAATAAAAATTGTCAAAGGAGAATACAGGATTTGTTTTTACGGCTTATCAACCATTTTGGCACCAGCGGGGAAATACGTGAATATATCAATTAAAAGACAAGGATTATACTTTTTCTTTTTGTTTGTTTTAGCATGAAGCTTATAAACATGACAAAGATCAGATTAACTTCAAAAGCAAGCATATTTTAAACAGGAAGCGAGGCTCAAATGTTTTTAGTACAAGTATATTAAGTATTCAAAACAAAAATAACAGAATAAAATTACTCATGTCAGATTTAATTTAACATACTCACTCAAAGATAGACCACAGAGCCAACATGTGGGTTATACTCTAACTATGGCGAACGGTCCTCCTGTACGACAGTGAATGCTGGACCATTCGGTAACGGAAAATTAGGTAATTTTGACAAGGTAGTAAAATTCGGTAACTATGAAATGAAAGTCGATTAAAAATTGATTTTAGGTCGCTTCTGGAGTGAAGATTTGGGAGTCTAATCACCCCCCATATTTTTTAAATAGAAATAGAATATAAGGCTATATAGCTTTTGCTTTTTTAAAAACTTAATTTATTTACTATTTTTTATTAAAATAATAATTTGAAAAGAAGATACAATAACTTGAATTTAACTTAGATAAATCGATTTTATTTGCTTGAAAAATCGAGTATAGTAATTAAATAAATACTTATATTACAAAAATAGGTGGTGGTGTTTGTGGGTAGGGGGGCTTATCCACAGCCCCAAACCCTCCATCCAGAAAGTACAACCCTAGTATTGTTACAGTTTGGTTTTATTTGAACTAGAACCAAGGCTGTTTTTAGTTAATATTTAAACGTATGGGAGGTAGCCTTCTCCAGACAGTACAGCCCTGGTATTGTTGTAGTGGGGTATTATGTAGACCCCCATAGTTAATAATACTTAAAAAAAAAAAATAGGGGAAAGAGGCCCCCCCCACAATCCCCCACTTCCACAAGTACCATCCTGGTATTGTTGGAGAGGTATGTTATTAGATAGCTCCACTTTTTCGCTAAGATTTTCAATACCTAAGGCCTTAAATGAATTTTTAAAAATGAAAACTCATTCTTGAAGATTTCTTTTTAGGTTTAATTGAAAGCTAAAGGATTAAATTGACTATTTCCAGTAGGTAAAACCCTCTGGTGTATTTCAAATAGAAATTATATAGACTGGAATGTCAAATATTTGCTCGGTTTAAAAAATTCTGTTTACTGGCGACAATTTCTTACATTTTAACAAGTTTTAAAATAAAATTTAATTATCGATTTTAAACATCTCCAATAAATAAAATAAACATTTGTCACACGTTATTTGAGTAAAATTAGCAAATTTAAAGTTAAATTAATCTGATTTGAAACAAATATTACTTACTTATAGCATGAAAAAATAGTATAGAAATATTTCTTAACGACGGGTCCTGTTTTTCTTTTGTTTTTATTGACGTATCGATAGGCTCCCTGGAGTTGACAGCTAGTATGGATTACCAGAATTGACATAAATTTACGAAATCTAAGTGAACGCAATTTTGATTTTGCTTTTAACTACCTAGTAATTTTTACAAATTAACATATTTTCAGATATTATCTAATATCTTGTTGACTTTTAGTTACGTTTGAAGATGCTTTATGAAAAATAATAAATTTTAAAATATAAAATTTTCTCAAATTAATTTTAAAATGTAATAACTGAGATGAAATACCATGATAGCGGTAACTCAATAATTTATGACCCACACTAAAATAAATACATAAAATAAAAATATTTCGTTAAATAGAAATTTTAAAAAATATTTTAAATTTTAAGGATTTAAAACTGAAAGCATGATATTCAAAACCTGTTGAAACTTAAGTAATGTATAACGAATTGGCGACAAGCGAATTTCTCTGTAAACCGAGAACAACTGTTAGAACAGGTGCCCTTTTCATAATAATGTTAGTTATAAACTACCCATAGATGAAAAATAGGGATGATTAAAGTAAAAAAAGATAAAATTATTTTTAAAATATTGGTGCAAAATTACACATATTAAGCTTTTCCATTTTTGATTCGTAAATATAGTTTCTACTTAATTGCAACATCACCTAAAAGAAATACTCTGTGAGAGATTTTTAAACGATTTTTAAATTATGATAAATTATTATAATTAAAATTTAAAAAAAATGAAAAAATTCTTGTAAAAATTCATTATTCATAGATTTTTTTCTTAAGACAATGTCCTAAATATAACTCATTTAGCAAAACAATTAAAATGTTTTCCAATTATTTTTAATCATGTCATAGTTTTTTTTTAGTTTAACACGGAGCAGATTTTCAGAAAACGAGCAAAAGTTTGAAAAAAAATTGGATGATTTACATTCTCCAAGGAATCCTATTTTTAACTAATAAAAACAATTTTGATACATACGATTTAATTTTTCGAAATTTCATGAAATAAGTAAGTGGGGCCATAACATATAAAATTTTTATATAAAAAAAAATATTTTTCACCAAGATTTTTTAAAACAAAAAAATTCAAAAATATGTTCTGAAAGTTTCATTAAAGCCCGATAATTATTTCATTCTTGTAAGAATTTCCAAATCAATGTGTTTTTAGCTGGAAAGAAAGTGAAAAATAAACACTTAATTGTAAAAATTACTTACTAACGTAAAAAGAAACAAAAAAAAAACAGGATTTTTAACCAAAATTTCGAACGTGTTAGAAAGGTTTAAATTTTTTTAATAATTAAAAAATACTTTCCTCTTACTGATTTTCCAAGCATAGCTTAGATGTGGCACAAGGCCGAAATTAGGAGACACCCAGTGAGGAACTAACTCACTGTTCAGTCGTAATTGTTCTAGCGATAAAAGCTTGCTAACCATTACACCGGTTCCAGGTTCCAAAAATATGAGGATACGTTCGGCCTTGAACGTATGGGGCAACCAGAGAAGATCGAACTCACAACACAGTAGTAATTGATCTAACGATACAAGATTGCTAACCATTACACAACGTCGAGGCGCCCGGGGTCTTTCTTCTTAAGAATAACATAAACATTTTGACAATAAAACTGTTTTTATTAAGTTTGGGGCTTTTTTTCATCATGTTATGCTGTTTTTCTAGCGGACGTATCTAGGTTTTATCTGGACCTCACGATTTTCAGTTATTTAAATTATAGAGGAGAGGGTTTAGCCCTCAAATACCCACCTCAGAACGGCCTTAAAATCAATTTTCAATTGACTTTTATTTCATAGTTATCGAATTTTCTTGCCTTGTCAAAATTAACGAATTTTCTGTTACCGAATCTTCCGTGGGCGAATTTTCCGTTGCCGACATTTTCGGTTCCCGAAATTTCCTAAATTCCTAACTGGACCGTTAAGAAAAACTCCCAGGAAGAAAAAGGGGTATTCGTTATTTAGTGCAAATAATTCTTCGTAGAATAAATTAAATATGTTGTCATTAGTGATTTTTTTTTATGGGGGATTTACGTAGACATGACGCCAAAGAACTAGCGAGTTGGTGATCTTTCTCACCAGTGAGAGATCATCAAAATTTTTAAAACGACCAAAATGATCGTCATTTTTAGAAATGAAATTTGTATTTCCGTTAAACTGACCACACATTGAGAATATCAAAAAGGCTTCTTTTTTTCTGGTGATGGTTCAGTGGTAAGGACTCGGGTAGATAAACTCGCTATCCCCTCTGAGCCTTAATGAAAATAGCAAATTTCTACCCTCAGTGGTCAGGACAATAAGATACGTCGCACCCACCTGCGATGAAGAGCAGCGCCGAAGAGAACAGGATATTCGTCTCTTATCTTTTATTGCTTAATGTTTTTTAATTTTATTTTTAGCGCCGCTATCAGATGCCATTTCCCGCTTTACAAGTCAGAGACTTTTATTTATGCTCTCTTACCATAAGACATGCTACCGCAGCTGGTATTTTACTGTTATAAACAACTACTTCAAAGCATTTTCGGACGGGTCTGCAATTTGCTCGGAAAGAAATGTTTTGGCTATATTTAAAACTCCCCGTTGATTCACAGATCATAAAATCTTTGCCGTGTGACGGTCAGGTCACGTAAAAGAAAGCGAATGGCTTCGTTGCCGAAACTTAAGGCCAAATTTGAAGAGAAACATGACCACAGCACTAAACGACTGCAACCTGGGCTTTCGGTGACAAAATAGAGAATTAAAATGACTTACGGTCTGATCGTTAAAACTGAATAGAAGCTTGTTTATCTTTATAAGGAAAAAACACATTTTCAAACCATTCGCTTATTTGACGAACTTCCCCATATATATATATATATATATATATATATATATATATATATATATATATATATATATATATATATATATAAAAGTGAACATTGAAGTCAACATTTAGAGGCGACAGGCTGTTTTCATGCTAGACGCAAGAGTCATTGACGATTGCGTCTAGCATGAAACAACCTCTAAATGTTGACTTCAATGTTCACTTTATATTTACACACACTCTATCTCTGATATTGAGCACTTTATCCCGTAAATATAGAACACCTTAAGAGTATCTCTCTCTCTCTCTCTCTATATATATATATATATATATATATATATATATATATATATATATATATATATTAAGAGAAAGAACAGTAAGATATATGATCCGGTGCTTTTTGTTAATTATTTTTATTTTTACAAAACAGTACTCAATGCAAATCTACAGAGCGTAAATATTATAAATTTACTAATTTAAAAATATGGTTCCATCGCCACACAGGAATTACCATGTTTCAAAAACAGAAGTTAAAAACTTCAAATTCAATTATAGAATTAAGTTAGTCCCTAGTTCTGTTTCATTTTCAAGCGAATTTTGGAAGAACTTATTTTGAAATTTACTGAGTTTTAGAGCACATACATTCATGATATTAGTTTATGTCATCATTCGTTGGAAAAGGCACACCTGCCCTAACTTAATCTCTTTTCGAAAGTAACTCATATTTTGATACAATAGTTGTCAGTGAAAATGGATACCATACCGCCCTTGTTAAAATGATTGGATTTCCCTTTATCCTTAGAAACTAATATTATTAACGTAAATATTTATTTATCTTATGCAGTATATATATATATATATATATATATATATATATATATATATATATATATAAGACCAATGTTGTATATGAATATACATGCCCACACGGACAAAATATCTTACATTGGATATGCCGCAATCACAATCACACGGGGATTCACTTGTCACCTGTCGAACTAGAGTGCCATCCGACCACTCATTAATAAGCAGTATAAGGATCACAGTTACATTAAACAGCTATTCACAAATAAGACCAAAGTACTTGCAAAATCAATACTTTATTTGCTGTCTGCGTTGCTCATTGTCGACAATAGAATTCGTGATGAAAAAAAAAAAGAAAAAGAAAAAAAGCAATTGAAATTAAAATTAACCTAACACTTGTCGAAGAATAAATTATTGATTATCGAGAAAAATACCGTATTCTGTTGAGACGGTGATGCAATCGGCTACGCTCTAAAATCTAAATAAGCTCACGCAGCAAGAAAAAGAAATTGAAATCCCCCCCATAAAAAAAACAAATCCAGAAAAGTGCATAATCAGCTAAGATTATGTAACAAGTTTAGTATGAAATGGATTACTGAAAGAATGAGTCTCGAAAATTTGTAATTCGTAGCAGATTGTGTTTCTTGGGTTCAGCGTACACATCGAAAGCAGAGGGCAGGCTTTACATATTTAAGAAGCAAACTAAATAGAGGATTAGGATACAAGAAATGGGAGTAGCTGTACCTAAAAAAAAATGCTGCTTACATTTCCATTCATTCGTATAGTAATGTATTCTGTAGATGTGGCAATGCGTTTTAAGGATTTGTGGTTAATGTAAAGGATATTATCGGCAATGGAAAGGGGACTCTCAGGGATACACTTGGGAAATGAAGTGTTCCTTTCCATCCCCTTTTCTCAGCTAGGAATTAAATAACAAAGCAGACTGTTCGTCTCTAGCCTTTGGCGAACTAATGTCCTGTGGAACCGACTACTAACAGGATGTTTCCCCCAATCACTACAATCTCAACCTCTTCAAGACGAGGGTTAGGCGTTATCTTCCGCTCTTAAACACTCAAATGGCCTCCTAACGTAACCCTCTACCTCGGGTGGCTCCATAACTTGTATAGTGTAAAAAAACAAAAAAACAAAAAACAAAAACAAGACAACTGACAACCCGTCTAAAAGAACATCTTTGAATTCGAAAGCGTGATGACAGCAACGAGAACCACACATCTATCTTTTCTTCTTCTTCTTCTTTTTCTTCTTCTGCTTCTTCTTCTTTTCCTTCTTCTTCTTTCTTCCTCTTCTTCTTTTTCATTCTTCTTCTTCTTCTTCTTCTTTCTTCTTCTTCTTCTTTTTCCTTCTTCTTCTTCTTCTTCTTTCTTCTTCTTCTTTCTTCTTCTTTTTCCTTCTTCCTTCTTCTTCTTCTTCTTTTTCCTTCTTCTTCCTCTTTCTTCTTCTTTTTCCTTCTTCTTCTTCTTTTTCCTTCTCCTTTTTTTCCTTCTTCTTCTTCTTCTTCTTCTTCTTTTTCCTCCTTCTTCTTCTTTCTTCTTCTTTTTCCTTCTTCTTCCTTCTTCTTCTTCTTTTTCCTTCTTCTTCTTCTTTCTTCTTCTTTTTCCTTCTTCTTCTTCTTCTTTCTTCTTCTTCTTCTTCTTTCTTCTTCTTTTTCCTTCTTCTTCTTCTTCTTTCTTCTTTTTCCTTCTTCTTCTTCTTTTTCCTTCTTCTTCTTCTTTCTTCCTCTTCTTTTTCCTTCTTCTTCTTCTTCTTTCTTCTTCTTTTTCCTTCTTCTTCCTACTTCTTCTTCTTCTTTTTCCTTCTTCTTATTCTTTCTTCTTCTTTTTCCTTCTTCTTCCTTCTTCTTCTTCTTTTTCCTTCTTCTTCTTTCTTCTTTTTCCTTCTTCTTCTTCTTCTTCATCTTCTTTCTTCTTCTTCTTTTTCCTTCTTCTTCTTCTTTTCCTTCTTCTTCTTTCTCCTTCTTTCTTCTTATTTTTCCTTCTTCTTCTTCTTTCTTTCTTCTTCTTCTTTTTTCTTGTTCTTGTTCTTCTTCTTTTTCCTTCTTCTTCTTCTTTCTTCTTCTTTTTCCTTCTTCTTCTTCTTCTTCTTCTTTCTTCTTTTTCCTACTTCTTCTTCTTCTTTCTTCTTCTTCTTCTTCTTTTTCCTTCTTCTTCTTTCTTCTTCTTCTTTCTTCTTCTTCTTTCTTCTTTTCCTTCTTCTTCTTCTTCTTTCTTCTTCTTCTTTTTCCTTCTTCTTTATGCTATGTCTCTTCAGGGCGTTGATGATCATTGCTCTCCCCAACTTCCAGCACTTTGTAGCTCTTAGTAAATTGTGTCTCTTTGCTGTCTCCCCTAAACTTAAAATCTGCCAACGATTTACAACAGCTCATTAGGTAGGATATGCGCTGTTTTCCTCTGTCACACTTGCCTTCAGTATGTCCTGTGAGTGTCAAATTTTCCAAGCCCTCTTTTCTCATTATGTGTTATAAAGATTTCAACTGACTCTTTCTGTTGTTAAGTATGTCTCCTTTTTGTTGCCATTGTTCCAAACCTTCGTCGTTGCTCACATGTTTAGCCTAAGGCATTCTCAGCATCCTTCTGCAGCACCAAATTTTTGTTGTTCATATCTTTCCTTTGTCTGTGACGAGACAGTCCGACATAACAGAGGACTGATAAGACAGCAGTTCAGTACTTTTTTCTTCGTTTCTAATTAAATTTATTGTTAATAAAGAAAAGGAAGTTGTGAAGGGTCATGATCGCTTGAAGAGTCATAGCCTAAAAATGTATTTTGCTTTGTTGCCGACATGATGAGGTTTTCTCGATATATGACGAAGTCCAACCTTGCATGATACAAAGTCTCAAATATCAGGCATCCGGTGAGGATCGAACTCAGTGCAGTTGCAATGATCTGCGAGGCAGAATCTGTCTACAAATCCTTGGTCGAGGGCTCTCTACAACAGAATGTAACAAATGTTGAGCACACAGTGAGGATCGAACTCACTACATCAGTAGTTAAACTTGCTAACTATTGTTCCACGGTAAAAGGTGCAAATCTATTTATTTACTAAGTTTATCTTTTATTTTTTAGTGTTGTTCACTCAATACAATGGCAAAGAACCACTCAACATGGACGGTTACCGAATACGGCTGTTCAAAGTAGATAACGGTTAACTGGAGATTTGAACAGGTTAAAATTGCATTCGTCAGGGAAGCATCCTCCCGGGAGTCAGTTTCACAAAATAGCGGTTCTTGGGAAAAAGCTGTCCAAATGGAACTTCCACCTTACAAAGGAAACAAGACGGGAATGAAGATAATTGGAATTTGTATACGTGGCATGATATGTCTTAGCTGTAAAGGTCTGAACTGAGGAATATAGCTCTGAACATTTACCATAGGAACAACGATAGTGTGACGAGAAGAGGCGTGCGGTGTTGTGTCTGTATGAAATGGGTTAATCACCCACAATGTTCCTTAGGCATTTTGGTACTCTATCAAGACTGGCTAGCTCCAGCCCTGTTATGCCAGCAATATTTCATATTCAGTATTTTTACGGTTTATCAACCCTTTGAGGGTTATTTAAAACCAGAAAATATTTTTAGATTGTACGATTTTTTTTTATAATAACGCTTTTACTCATACAAGTGCTACTAATTAACCCATAGCTGTCGTGGAGGGGGCGGGGAAGAGGTGTATGCATATCTTTCCCAAGGGTATTTGCGCGTAAGCAAATATAACGAACCCGACTTGAATGCGAACTCCGCTCTCCGATTTGCGTGGTTCCCTGGAAGGTTTCGCTTTTCTTGTAATATAGGCAGAAATATTTTGACTGAGTTGCAGCTTGTAAAGTGTTTTGCTATGTTGTCAAAAATCCCCCCCTTTTCCCCTCTTTTTTTTTCTTTGCTACGTTGCTGATAAGGGATTTGGAAATGCTTTGCATACCAGAATATATATATATCTTGTATGCAGAATGGTACTTTTTCCTGTAATATAAATAGAAAACTATTTGCTTCGTTGTAGACAGAAATTTGTTGTTGTTTTTTTTATAGATGTAATGGAAATAATAATAATAGTAATAATAATAATAATAATAATAATAACATACCGGAAAATGTGTTAACCCGAAATGCAGATTCTCTGATAAATATCCAGAAGCAATTGACCGTCTTGTTTCAGGTTACACAGTAGAATTATCACCCACAGAATATAAAACTTGGTTAGGTAGAGTGTGCCAATATCTGCACTAGAAAATCTGCAACACTTTACGGGAAGGAAATTGCAAAATAAATAAATAAATAAATAAATAAAAAACTGGTATGAACATCACCCAGAGCCGGTTCCAGATATAGAATTTGTAACAATTTTAAGAGACTTTACCGTAGACACAGAGAGAACAATCAAAGCTAACTGCCTGGACATCGAGATCAAAAGAAAACAAAGAACAGAATTTGCTTTCTTTATTGAATTGACTTTTGAAGATCTTTAAAAAAAAAACTATCAAGATACAAGGACCTTGTAATGGAAATCTAAAATATGTCGATATGAGAACATCAATAATTCCATTTGTAGTTGGAGCCCTCGGATTGATTGGAAAAAGTTTCTATAATCATTGAAGTGACCCTTGGCAGCTCATTCTTTAAAGAAATTTTAAAAATGTTCAGATCTACCTTATGTTGCTGATTTATTCATTTATTTTATAAAAATGTTCTGTGGAAAATGTCATGATGCCATTTCTGGCCTTAGGTCTCTAGTTGGGACCCGGAAGGAAATGCGTATACAACGAAGGAAATAGGAAATACTACTACTACTACTACTACTACTACTACTACTAATACCACTACTACTACTACTACTACTACTAATAATACGTTTCTGCTGTTGTTATATTTCAAAAGGAAATGGCTTCGGTAATAGATTTCTTGATGCATTGCAGACAGAAAATATATTGCAATGTTGCAGATTAAAATGCTTATTCTTGCTGCAAGTTTTACAAAAAAAATGTATGTTTGGGCTCTTTATAACCGGATTATTTCTGTTCGAGGTTCCCATACGATCACCGAAGTTAAGCAACGTGTAGCCTGGTCAGTACTTAGGTGGGTGACTGCTTGGGAATACCTAAGCTTGGATGTGCTGGTGGGGTAGTGGATAGCGACTTGGAATTATTAATCAGAGTGCCAAGTTCCAATTCCAGTTGAGTTCGTCATATTCACTTTCGAGCAAATACGTTTGGTGAAGATATAAATTTAACACTTCTAACCCCAGCTATGGGTTAATTAGTAAAACGTGTATCATTAAATCATACTCTCTCCCCACCCTCCAAAAACTCTTACAATCTATGAATATTTTCTGGTTTTGAATAACCTGGAAATGGTTGATAAGCCATAGAAAACGAATCAATCAATTTCTGTTTGTGATTACGCGTATTCTTTTGTCTCTGAGCAAGCTAGGAGGGGTCTGGTCAACCAACTGAAAATATTTACACACCCACCCTAATGAAAATGATATAAACTAATTTTAGAGAGCAAATCTTTACTCTTGGCCTCTCCACGATTTAAAGGCCTGTTTGCAGCTCCCATCAAAACAATCTGGTAACGGGTCTCTCCCTGGCTGTTTTTCTCCGGTAATCTCTCTCTCTCTCTCTCTCTCTCTCTCTCTCTCTCTCTCTCTCTCTCTCAACCTATACACACACTTTTCTCTCTCGCCTCATATATACAAAATTGTCCTCTCTCTCTCTCCTCTCTATGTCACTCTCTTCCTTTCCCTCTCTCACTAAAATATATATGCAAAAACACTTTCCCTCTCTCTCTATGTTATTCACACTCTTTTCCTCTCTCACTAACATATAAACGCACACACTTTTTCTCTGTCTCTCTACGTCACTGTCTCTCTCTTTCTCTCTCTCGCCAACATATACACACACGCTTGTCCTCTCTCTCTCTCTCTATGTCACTCACTCTCTCTTTCTTTGTCTCCCTCACTAACATACACACATACACTTATCTCTGTCTCTCTGTGTCGGTCTCTCTTTTTCTCTCTCTCACTATCATACATACAAACGTTTCCTCTCTCTCTCTCCCTATCTCTCTCTCTGTCGATGTCACTCTTTCCCAATTTCTCTCCCTAACATATACACAGACACTTTCCCTCTCTATTTCTCTCCATGTCACTCTCTTTTCTCTCTCTCACTAACATATACACAGACACTTTCCCTCTCTATTTCTCTCCATGTCACTCTCTTTCTCTCTCTCACTAACATATACACAGACACTTTCCCTCTCTATTTCTCAATATGTCACTCTCTCTCTTTCTCTCTCTCACTAACATATGTACAGACGCTTTCCCTCTCTATTTCTTTCTATGTCACTCTCTCTCTTTCACTCTCTCACTAACATATACACAGACACTTTCCCTTTCTATTTCTCTCCATGTCACTCTCTTTCTGTCTTTCACTAACAAATACACAGACACTTTCCCCCTCTGTTTCTCTCTATGTCTCTCTCTCTTTCTCTCTGTCTCACTAACATATGTAAAGACACTTTCCCTCTCTATTTCTCTCCATGTCACTCTCTTTCTCTCTCTCACTAACATATACACAGACACTTTCCCCTCTATTTCTCTCCATGTCACTCTCTTTCTCTCTCTCACTAACAAATACACAGACACTTTCCCCCTCTGTTTCTCTCTATGTCTCTCTCTCTTTCTCTCTGTCTCACTAACATATGTAAAGACACTTTCCCTCTCTATTACTCTCCATGCCACTCTCTTTCTCTCTCTCACTAACATATACACAGACACTTTCACTCTCTATTTCTCTCTATGTCACTCTCTTTCTCTCTCTCACTAACATATACACAGACACTTTCCCCCTCTATTTCTCTCCATGTCACTCTCTTTCCCTCTCTCACTAACATATACACAGACACTTTCCCCCTCTATTTCTCTCTATGTCACTCTCTTTCTCTCTCTCCCTAACATATACACAGACACTTTCCCTCTCTATTTCTCTCTATGTCACTCTCTCTCTTTCTCTCTCTTAATAATATACACACAGACACTTTCCCTCTTTATTTCTCTTTATGTCTCTCTCTCTTTCTCTTTCTCACCAAAATATACACATGCACATTTCCTTTCTCGGAATTATTTCCAAAGTTTGGCGGAATGATCGATGATTTTTGTTTCTTTGATAAAAAAATATCCACTTGTAACTTTAAGACTTTTATTAAGGTTATTCAATTCCCGCTTCATCGAAATGCTGCTTGGTGAAGCAATGAGAGGTTGAACGAAGGGCGTGTATGCTGAAAAGTTCTCAGCACAACTCACTTTCCAAAAATCTGATCAAAATTAAGAGTTTTTTGGGGTTTATTTTTTACCTTTCTTTTGAAATGGCAGAGAACTCCCGATTGTCGAGTTATACGGGACTAAGAGTAGTCTTAATTATATCAAAATCTTTTAAAAAATAAAATCAGCGTCGACAAACACGATTCCTTCTTTTCTTTTCTTTTTTTGTCTTAATAAGTGAATGACGTAAGGCACTGTATAAAACACGAGATGGAAAAGTCTGTTTGTCATGTCATCAAATGGCATCTGTTTTACCTCCTCCATATATCAGTCTCTGATTCGTTGTTGTGCACCTGCCTCTCAGCTGCTAGCTGTCAGATGAATGGGCTCAGATACAATCTCATTTTTGCTATTTGCAGCTCCACTGAGACGACATTGGTAACTTGATCCTCGGAACCTTGAATCCATTGCTGCTTTGCAGAACTTTGTGATGCCTTTATTTAAATGAAATACGTGGCACCTTAAACTTGAAACATGTATTCAACTGCTATATATATATATATATATATATATATATGAAGAAATATACTCTTAAGGTGTGCTATATTTATGGGATAAAGTGCTCAATATCAGAGATAGAGCGTATGTAAATATAAATATAAAAGTGAACATTGAAGTCAACACTCAGAGGCGACAGGCGGTTTCATGCTAGACGCAATCGACAGGCCGCTGAAATATAACATATATAATATATATATATATATATATATATATATATATATATATATATATATATTATAAATAAAAAGAAAGAACAGTAAGATATATAATCCGATGTTCTTATAGATATTTTATTTTTACAAAATAGTGCTCAATGTAAATTTACAAACATAATATTATAATTAGTTGATTTAAAATATGGTTTAAAACCATATTTTAAATCAATTAATTTAATATATATATATATATATATATATATATATATATATATATATATATATATATATATATATATATATGTGTGTGTGTGTGTGTGTGTGTGCTTATTTTCTGAGCGTATTTTAGATGTGGCACAAAGCCGTAACTATGGGGTATTCTCAGTCATAATCGTTCTAGCAAGACAAGCTCGTTAGTCATTACACCACGTCGAGGTGCCTATATATATATATATATATATATATATATATATATATATATATATGTGTGTGTGTGTGTGTGTGTGTGTGTCTGTGTTTAATAGTAATGTTAGCCGTTTCCTTATAAGGAAACATTTGATATTCATTAGCCGAGCAGACAGTGCTAACTTCGGTTGAAATTCAAAAATCTTTTTTATTAACAATATTAATATATATACCGTACCTATGAACATTAATGGTTATGTCCCAATCCTCAGATATACGCTGGGCACTATTGTAAGTGGGGGTAATATACTGTCTAAGTAGCCCACCACTAGCAGTGGTTTACCTACTTCACGCCGCTGGTGAGTATTGTATTTTCTTGATGTTACAAAGATTACCATTTCATTTCCAAGCTCTGTTTTGGTTATTCCTCATTCAGTAACCCTTCCTAGGTTACAACAAACAATGTTTTTCAGGAAAAAAGTTTTTAAGTTCAGTAGCTGTTATTGCTCTCTTCAGTGTAGATGAGGCTTCCATACTTATCTCCTGTTTGAAGAAGTGTAGAACGTCAGTATCTTGATTACGTCATTATTTTACATGTGCTATTCATTGCGGTCGTTGCTGCTGTAGAAGGTTCTCAAGTGATATTTCTTTCATTTGTCACAGTTCATTGTTTATGATACTGTAACGCCAGTTCACAGGGTTCGAAAAAAGGTGGACTTGTTTAAGATCTGCAGGTTTCATTTGCTCGTAGCAATTTTTAGCAATTGTTATGAAAAAGTGGCTGTATACAGATGAGAATTTAGATATTTCAGAATGAGTTTAGAGACACGCGTGACATCCGTATGAAAGTCTCGACCTAACGAGACTATTTAAGAACATGGCTGGAGTTAATGTTTTGGTTTTGTAGTAATCTGTGGTGTTTGGTGAGACTAGTACAGTCAATTCTATGTTCAATTTCTTTATCTCTAGTACTAAATTTCTTATAACTGATACATACATCGAAGTATATGAAGTGTTTAAAATTTACTAAATCCACATCCTGAACTTTTATGATTCGTATTTCTTGGAATAATTCTTATAGTATTTTGGAGAAACCAATTAAAAACTTATTTCACAAATATACAAAAACTATTGACACTAATAACCGCCTAAGATTCAGTATCAATTCTAAAAAGTTCAAAACCTCTAAACTGCTCTACACGCAAGCCGCTAGTGACCAGCTGCCGGGCCGCCGATGGCAACGCCAGCGGTTCTCTGGTGGCAGCCACCGGCTGTAGGCCGCTGGGCCTCATGCGGTCCGCCAGTAGTAACATTGCCGAGAGGAACACGCTGGCGGTCCGACACCGGGCCACCAGGGGTAAACACTAGTTGCAGATAGGTGGCTTGCGTGTGGGGTTATTGACAACAACAATTATCAATAGAAATCTACAATACAGAAGTCCAATTTCATGTTACCATTATTAATGGATGTGTGTAATGGATAGCGGCTCAGAATGAGAAATCGGAGAGCCGAGTTCGAATTCCAGTTGGCTTTGTTACAGTCACTAATACAAATAACTTGGACCAATGATATTACTGGGTTCTCCAAATGTGGTTGGCAATCAGTCAAGGAGAAGGACAACCTACTCTAAATTCAAAACCGTTTTGTGGCACTGGGATCAAATCATGGGTTTCCCTTTTAGCAAGACATAGCACCTCCTGCAAAGATTACGGTGAAGACATCAGCAACAGGATGTTTAATGCCGCCAATCGTAGAATCTAACATAATAGATTTGTGACATTAAACTGCAATGGTGTCATATAAAAGACCCATGATGCTGGACAATAGATGAGACCTAATTATTATCAGATAGGAACTCAGCGTAGCGCCTTGTGTGGCTTAATATATGTGCAACCGAAAGCCCTATGACGGGGACCTCTTGACTTATCTTGTTCGCCGACATTTTTTTAATCATATCACTTTACTGCTAAACATAAAGACACAAGACGTTACTGAGTGTGAAAGAAGAAAAAAAAAACAGAAACCTTATTAAAGAGCAAGAACAATAGAAGAGTAATCAAGAAGACAGTAGATAACGATTGAAATTTCGTTTAAATTATTGAAGATCAAAATTAGCTGGAAAGCATGTAGCCGAAAGAGAGTTCCACAAGTGAGAAGTGCGGGAAAAGAAACTGTTATCATAGAACATATGGTTACATCTAGTTAATTTGACTGTGAACTGATGAGACCTTATCGCCAGTCTAGTACTGCGCTTAAATTCATGACCTCAAGGTGCTATAGTGAAGAGTTCATATGAATAGTTACCTTGAAAGTATTTATAGAAAAACACATGAAAGCTAAGTTACGGTGGTTGGAAAGTGACTGAAGCCGAGACGCCAGGTCAGGACCAATAATATCACTGATTTTGACATTTTTCTTAAGAGAATGTTCTTTACAATCTACATCAGGTTTTGGTAGACAATACTGGAATTTTATATCATTCAAATAATCAGGAAATATTACAATTGATTGAAGCCATCTATATTAAAAGAAAATCACCATCCATCAACAAGATTTGCTTAAACAATGGCGATCACGTTCTCAAGTGTTTATAATGCAATTTAGAAGTCTGCAACGTGACAAGGCGTCACGCTACATTACCTGAACCAATATACCTTTTATCAAGTTCAAGTGAACACATTTTGCAAGCTTCAGAATGTAAAACCTGTAAACCACGTAGCAGAATTGATTGATTATTCAAACAATAAAAACCTAAGTAAAATTGACAGGCACTTCTCAGATTTCACTAACATTGTGCAAAAGATAAGAACTTTTACATGAACCCATTATTTCTCGCCATAGGTACGAAGTCTTTCTGAAAAATTAATGGATTTTATTTTTAATCCGACATTAATTAATACTCCAAACATTATTTTTGTCGATACACGTGTTTGAATAGATGTCCTGCATTTTTGTTTGTTTTAAACGTCTGCCGGTGTACATATATATTGTTTTTTTAAGTCTCTTCAATGCGCAGGCTGGTAGACCCAATTAACACTCTTTAAAATAAATCAGTCAGTTATGGGCTATGCGTGATACACGCTGAGGCGATCATGTATCTTTCGATACATGACTGACGAGGCAGATTTTTTTCACTCAGTAGTTTGCCATTTCTTTCTGCGGTAGAACAGTTGCAATCCAAGGCTATAGAACCCGATCTGTTCTGCTATTTACCCATAGCTAGGTGGGGAGAAGAAGAGGATTCATATCCTTCCCCAAGGGTGTTAGCACGTAAGTGAATGTAATGAATTCGACTGCAATTCGAACTCTGCTCTCCGATTCTTCAATTGGAGAGCCGGGCTCGAATTCCAGTCGAATTCATTACATTTACTTAAGTAAAAACACAGGGCGTCTATTTAAACATGTATCAACAAAAATAACGTTCAGAGCACTAGATATAATTATAACTAGCCTGCGTTTATCCTTACAGGCGCAAATAAATCGTCATCATCATCATCATCATCATCCCACTCAATGTCTCGACTATGCGACAAGTAATACTGGTTTACATCGTACCAGTGGCACTTGGAGAGTAACATGATTGTTTAATTTGTATTATACTTACGTTTTGAAGGCCTGTTCAACTCATTTATTTTCTTTTATTGTCGTTGGCACTAAATGAAATCTCTTCGGCGTACTTGTGGTAGCGGGTGTTTTCATCTCTGCTCTGAGGATACAAAAAACCTTTTAAACATCTTGGGTGTGTTGAGGACAATAGATCTAAACAAATTAATCTATGACAGAGAAGGAGTAATTGCCTTATAGGAAATGGGATATTACTAGAAATCGTCAGAAAAGAGAATAGATATTACAAGGAGTAATTACTATATAGGCGATTACATATTACAAAGAGTAATCTCAATATAGGAGATTAGATATTACAAGGGATAAACAGTATATAGGGGATTAGATTTAAGAGAATTAATTGTGAGATACGGGATTAGATGTTACGAGGAGTAATCGCAATATAAGAGATTATATATAACAAGAAGTAATCGTCATTTAGGAGATTAGATATTATAAGGAGTAAACGCAATAGAATAGATTATATATCACAAGTAGTAACCACCATATAAGAGTATCTGTCTATATTTCTGAGATGAGGTATTATGTACACTATTTACATTATTCGGACTATTGTCCCCATCTTTGTCGCCATATTTATTACAACTTTTTGCCCGTTGTACGCTCCGGCCTTCTTCAGGTGGTTGGAATGTCGAACTGAACCCTTTATTTCGCTCACTGTGGTAAACTGTTCTAGTTCCACGTGCCATGTTTAATGGATGTCAGTTATCTTCCGTTAATTTCCCTCTGAAAGTTCTCCACTGCCTTAACCTGGTATTGGACTCACAATTTTTGGGTCCTGTCACTGGATCTAACTAATGCCTTTATCCACTGTGCTGTGTGTCCTCAAGGACAATTATTTTAAGACATTTTTTATGTTTTTCTATAAAAAGAACGTATAAACATAAAATATGTCTTAAAATCATTGTCGGATTTTGTCCATTTCATGATGCGTGGCGTCATTTGTTTACATTTGGATACGCATCGAGCAGATATGAATGTACGAGAGAAATTCATGGAGAATTGTAGTTTAAAAACAGTAAAATCGACCGTGCTAACTGAAACGCTTCACTGTGGCTAAATCGGTAAAGCAGGTCAGGCTATATGACGGTTCCTTATAGGGTACAGATTCGTTTCTATGAAAATTTCTCGGACATTCAGGCCGGTAAATGTTATTTAATACTGTTTATTATAAACAGAGCATTTACTTAAATATTTGTATCAATAAAATGAACGTACAGTGTAACCCGGATATAAGAGAGTTGTCGGGACCGGAGAAGAAGTCTCTTATATCCGGGTTTCTCTTATATCCGGGTTTGGTCTATTTTATATACATTAACACAGGCTCTAATTTGGGACCAGAGAAAATATCTCTTATATCCGGGTTTCTCTTATATCCGGGTCTCTTATATCCGGGTTACACTGTATAACGTAAAAATGTCTTAAAATATATATATACTATTTTCTGAATACATATTTTGTACTTTTGAAGCTGTATTTTATACAAGAAATTTTTTTAAGCAAGACGTGAAATGAAAATATAAAATAAGTTCATCTTTCCTTTTCTTTCTTTCTCTCTCTTTTCCCTTTCTTTTTTCTACTTCCATCTTTTGCTTTCTTCCTTCGATTCTCTCTACTTATTTGTTTTTTCTCACTCTTTTCCTCTGTTTTTCCTTCCCTTTTCTCTTTTCCTCTCCTTCCACTCTTTATTCCCTCTACCTCTCTTTCTTTCTTTCAAACTTTCCCTCACATCTTTTCCCTTCTCTTTTCTCTTTTCCTTTCTTTTTCCGCCTTCCTCTTTCCACTCCCTTTCTTCACTTTCCTTCTCCATTTTTCTTTTCTTCTTTTTCCTTCCTTTTTATTTTTCCTCACTTTCTCTTTCCTCTCCTTTAACTCTATTTCCATCTCTAGCTCACTTTCCTTCTCTTTTATTCTTTCTCTCGCTTCTTTTTTTTCCTCTCTACTCTCTTTCTCCTCCTATCCACTTTTACTCACCTTTCTTCTCTTTCCTTCTCACTCTTTCGCTCTTCTTATTTTCTTCTTCCTGTTCATTCTTACTCTTTCATCTATTCTCCTTATCTTTATGACCCCCCCTCTCTCTCTCTCATCTCTGTCTTTCTTTCTGTCTCTCTTTTTCGCTCACACGTTTAATACTAACACCTATATGAAACGTTAATACCGTGCCCAACCAGACCGCTTCGACTCCGTTCAAAATAACCTTTTTATTTGTATTGGTTTCTAAGATTATTCCCAATAGCCGTAACAAAACACTTCACGCCCCATAAACATTCCCGGTGGTCTAGTTTTCGATCGCTTCTACGGGTGGTACGTCCTAGATTTGGCGTGTAATAAATATTACCTTCTCAAATCTCTGCAGGGTTGCTGCAAAGATCTGTTTTCTATCGTATTAGAAATTGGATACCTTCCGGTATTTGTCAGAACCCTATATCTCATCCAAAAGCAGAATTTATCACACAGTTTCCGCGACTCTTTACGATTATCACTGGTAAGGTGACCCGGCTTTGCCTGGTATGTAAGGAAATGCAAATTTTGATCTCATCTTAGTCAAAGCAGAAATCAACTGACAGTCGTTTGAGTAAATCTATCAATCTATCTATCTATCTATCTATCTATCTCAGTATGTTCAAATATCTATCTATCTATCTGTCTGTCTGACTGTCTATCTATCTCAATATGTTCAAATATCTATCTATCTATCTATCTATCTATCTATCTATCTCAGTCGGTTCAAATATCTATCTATCTATCTCAGTATGTTCAAATGTCTGTCTGTCTATCTATCTATCTATCTATCTATCTATCTATCATGTTCATGTATCAAATATCTATCTATCTATCTATCTATCTCAGTATGTTCAAATATCTATCTATCTATCTATCTATCTCAGTATGTTCAAAATATCTATCTATCTCAGTATGTTCAAATATCTATCTATCTATCTATCTATCTATCTATCTCAGTATGTTCAAATATCTATCTATCTATCTATCTATCTATCAGTATGTTCAAATATCTATCTATCTCAGTATGTTCAAATATCTATCTATCTATCTATCTATCTATCTATCTATCTATCTATCTCAGTATGTTCAAATATCTATCTATCTAATCTATCTATCTATCTATCTATCTATCTATCTATGTCAGTTTATTCATATCTACAATGGAAATGTATGAATCTATCTCCTTCGCTCAACTATGGATTAAATAGTCTGACGTGCATCTCCAAAAATGATTGTTAATGCAATATTTACTCTCAAAAAAGAATTATTTTTACAATCCAAAGATATCTTTCGGTTTTAAATAACCCATAAAGGGATGATAAGCCATAAAAAGCAAATGAATCAATCGATCATTACATATCTATGCCAAATTCATATCTATTCATTCTATTCATATTTATGACCATATTTATCTATCTATCTATCTATTCTATATCTATCTATCTATCTATCTATCTATCTATCTATCGTTATTATCATCATATAAACCCGAAAACAAATGGGCCGATTCATTTCAGAAATTTTTTACAAGTAGAAAAAGAAAAAAATAATGCATAATTGTTATATTTGCTAATAGTAGCGCTACACGCCATTGCCCATGTATTATATCAAAATGACACCAATAATGTACAAATTCATGATAAACAATCAAAAATCGCCCTTTATTAAAGAAAATGTTTTAAATATTCTACAAGCCATTCATTGCTCCTTTAGTAACTTTGTCACTGTTTATTAGAAAAATAATTGAATGGCGTCGGCCTTATGCAAGTAAATAGAGAGAAACTTGTTTAATGTTTTTTGTTAAAAGTTTAGCTCTTTTATATTTAATTTTTATATAAAATAATTCATTTATAATAAGCTTAAAACCGGCCTTTATTAATCAAAAAATAAGGAATATTCTACAGTTCATTCACCCATTGTTTATTCATTTATAAATCTGTTTACTTAATACAAATATAAATGACATCGAGTTTAAATTTGGTGATGTTAAACTATCAGCTTATTTTTCTACGTTTGTTAATGCTATTACATACGTGCTAATTTTCAAATATCTTCCTTTATACAAAGAGTAGAGAAATAAGTTGTTTATCAAAATCTTCTTTGGAGCATGCTGAATTAATATCTATGCGGTTTTAGGGATTTTAGATACAAAAATAGAAAGGGACGTAAGGCAAGGATGCTTCTTCTCACCTGACCTGTTCAACTTATACACAGCGAGGCAATTCTGAGAGAATTGGAAACCCTATCGAGATTTAGGATTGGCAATCACAACATAAGATACGCAGATGACACAGTACTGATAGCGGACACTGAAAAGAAATTACAAAATCTCCTGTAGAAGGTAGCGACGGAGATGTGAAGAAGGAACTAAGTATAAACTACAAGAAAACAGAATGTATGATCATCAGTAAAAGGATGAGTCCGAAATATGATTTGCAGATTTGGAACACTGGAATCAAGCAGACGCGGAAGTTTAAATATCTGGGAAGCGTCTTGACAAAGGACGGTAAATGCGACACTGAGATCCGTAGACATATTGGGATGGCCAAGGACGCATTCCAAAAGCTGGGCAGGGTACTGCAAGACAGGAAAATTTCCTTGGTAACGAAGAAAAGAATACTGAGCTGTTACGTGACATCTCTCCTTCTTTACGGCAGAGAATGCTAGACGATTTCTTCAAAGATAAAGAAGAGACTCGAGGCGACGAAAATGTGGTTCTACAGAAGGATGCTAAGGATATAATGGACCGATCCTATGAGGAACGATGAGGTCTTAGAGAGGATGCAAGCAAGGAGGAGACTTATACTTAACATCAGGAAGAGGCAGTTGAAATTTCTTGGGACATGTAATGAGGAAAGAAGGCCTGGAGAATCTGATACTCACGAGTCGAATGAAAGAGAGACAAGGGAAAAACGTTGACATGCCTGGTGGGCTTAAGCAAGTGGATGACAGAACGTGGTCTGGGGGAGGTGGCAGAGGGAAGTGTTGAAAGCTGCAAGGGATAGAGGGGGATTGGAGAGGTGAAAGGACACGGCATATAGAAAGAAGCTTTGGACTTTAAGACGGGTGCATATTCACACAGACGAACACCTTTAATTTTAGAAAAGATTATACAGGGTGCGGCAGAAATAACTCCCACATATACTTCCCAGAAATACTTCCCACATAATGGTAAGACATTAGCTAGATGGAGATACCATTTCCAATAATGTCTTACCATTATGTGGGAGGTATTTCTTGGAGATATATGTGGGAGGTATTTTTGCCACACCCTGTATAAGTATGCAAACATCTATTTAGTATTACTTCTGAGTAGTGAGTCCGATCCTCACTGGGTGTCTTATATCAGATTCAACGGAGAATGATGCAGTTAGGGCTGACATATCTTAAAATCAACCAGCCTAACTGAAGTTTATTTTTTTTTATTCTGACATGTGGGGATCGAAATCACTACATTTGCTTGAAGGAATTACTACTGGAATTATTCTTGTATACTACGCACTATTTCTTCCTGATTTTTAAATCTAAAAGTTACGGGTGAGTATTATACATGAGAACTAAATACTAACTTTTTCCAACAATGTTCAGAATGATATGACCAAATGATATTCAAAGTAATGAGGTACAGACAGTTTAAATCAATACCCAAAGACTGTATTCTTTAATATTAATATAGATATTAATCATATTTAAGTTTGCTTCGCTGCTTGTCCGGGTCAAAGGTCGACGTCATGACAGTTTCATGCATTTTGTCTCTGCATAAAACGCGGATACCACCCAGGCACAAGCAATGAAGTTGTCAGGCATTGTTCTTATCTTCATAATCATTACCAGTGCCTTGAGATGTACGCCAGTTTTGCTAATTCTAACGTTGATCAGTTTACGTTCCTTCATCCACCCAATCAAACCTTCTTTTAATTTCGGAAATTCTGCCAATTTCCCTCTGTCCGCCTTCTTTGATTTCAGCATGGGTTGAAATTTGGACTCATCTCCAGAAAAGACTCGCTCCCAGGACAACAGAAGTGACGACCTGCTGTTTGCTTCCCATTTTTCTTTCCAAACAGACCTGAGTTAATTTTTTTTCTGCACTTTCGTAAAATGATAGTTTAATCAGGGTCAGAATCAATGGAGCGAGTCACGCGTCCTTAGGGAATATTGTTTGCGATAAACGGTGCCTGACTGATTTTAGCGAGGCAATCTATTAGCGGAAGTCGTATCGTGGCTAACTTCCGGTGACCGATAAGTAACAGATAATTTTTCCAGGTCTTTTTTATGTAGTAGTAATGTCTACCGTTGTCTTACGCCGGTACAGAGAAGTAGTTACTAACCACTGGAATTTTTTTTTGCCCGGCCCAGGGATTAAACTTATTATGTAGCCAAATTCGCGAACTAACGTTTTAATCCAATAAGCTTTAATCCACAAGAAATGGGGCGAATAATAAATGGGTGGTACAAAATACGCACTAGATCAGATATCCCTAGACAGACAAAACGGAACGAGAACAATCTACGCCCGTAAATTAAATAAAGGGTTCAATTCGAAAAAGGGTTTATCTATCTCTTTATTGTAGCTGGGATTGTATTTTTTTTCATTGCAATGATTTGGTCGTGATTAATATTAATCATGTAAAACAAACATTATACAGTGAATATATCCGATCAAAATCAGCTAATAATTCCACAAGAGTAACGTAGGAAGCAGAAGTGGGAAACAATGAAGTATGATGAGATTTGAACTTGCATCCCGTATCCATGGGAGCGCTTTTACCAACTTGGCCACAGACACAAATCGGTCGGTTGATGCTGATAACTTAATGACGGAAAAAATTAAAAATGACTAGAATGTTGTGACAAAAATTTAAAAAAAATAAGGGTGCTATTTTGGCATGTTATCTACAAGGAAGAAATAACTACTTTCTCTTGTTATCTACAAGGAAAAATATCTACACCGTACAAATTTTATTTTGGAATATCTAGATAATAAAGCATAATAACATACATAACAGAGAAAATGTAATTAAAATATTAAAAGGTTAGAATTAAGTAAGGATTAGAGTTAGAAATATCTTTTAGATTACTATAAAGAGTAGATCGCATATCACAGTAGATTCATGACACTTAGATGACAAGCCAAAGTAACACCAATATAAGCCCGTCAAACATTAATGATGAAAATGTTTTATCTGAGAAAAGAAAAGACTATGAGCTCTACTTTTACTACCAGACTTCAGGTTCTTTGCTACTAGTGGCGATGACGCAGCTTAAAATGTTAACCAGTGGAGCCTTGGAATTCCTATACGGTAATGAATGCACGACAAGCTCCTCACAGATGAAGGAGACATTTGAAGGAACAGTAACGTTGTTTTGAAGAAGGATACTGAAAATACCAAATGACTGAACAACGAAGAAGTTTTAAAGAAAATGGAAGCAGAAAAGAAGAATAAAAAGGACACTTATACTTAGAAGGAAACAGCTTCTAACTAAAGAGACACCGACTGCAAATTACAAAACCATGAGATCTAAGATTATTTCTAAGCAGCATGGAACCTAGTGTAAGAACCTTAGCCATTAAGCACCAAAGTCAGCCATTGCATTGAAAACATTGGGATAAGCTATCGAATAAAAGTTTGTTTACTTTTTAGTATTTTAATCATTTGCGTTTATAATAGAAATGAAAACAATATTAACATTATTTTTGCACTAATACTCAAGTATTATCTTGCTATGAAAATGAAATCAGTATAATATTCTAAATATAATTTGACACGGAGGCGTTGACAAAAAAAAAAAAACGTTTGTGCCCAATGAGGGCGCTGGTTGAAAAAAAGGGTTTGGAAAGACTGGTGTAAATTGACATAGGGATCTACGTGCCTGTGTGTACATAGGATGCTATTTCTACATTTTGCTATACACGTCTCATGAGATTCATCGAGGAGTTCTTATTGTAATTTTTTTTCCAGAAATGGGTTTAATAAGCCTTACGAAATGAAACTGGTGGACTGAAAATGAGTCCACCCAAAAGAAATGTAAAAGAAAACAACCAAGACCAATATATATATATATATATATATATATATATATATATATATATATATATACAAACAATTATATGTATGTGTATTAACAAACAAACAGATACAAATTACAAAATTGTTATGGTGAAACACACCTCTTCTATAGTTAATAGACTCACTCACCTAATATAATCTGGAGTAGTAAGAGAATACGAGAATACTCAGCGACCACAGCAAGATTACTCTGCATAATACCTATTATATCAAGTTCCTAACTTTTTTACGTCGAACAATTTTAGGCCCGATTTAGTACCAATACAAGCCTTCACTGCGAAATAACTCCACAACAAAAATCAATACTATGTATGTATAACAAATTGTTTTATCCTTAAAGAGGTTACAAACAGACAAAGGTGGTACTCGAGTCAAAATACACTATTTAAAGACAGGGAGTCTGTTATCAGGCTAGTAATTCCTAAAGCAAAATGCTAGGTATGTCCTGTGCACACTATATATATTTACTGATATAGTCAGTCCGCCATA